CTTATAATTAGAATCAAACTAAAAGTCAAACAGGGTCTTATATTAAAGACCGGAGGTAGTACATAGACATTACTATTCTATGTCGCTGCATTTGCACAAAATTAGTTGTCCGTTTTTTCTTTGATTCGTTGACTTGGATCATCTGCTAGCGCCATTATGATATTAAGAAAAGTCCTAACTAATAATTGAGTCTTCTAAACATGTTGTCGGGGCTTAATTTTTGATTATACTACCTCTAGTTTATAAGAGTTATGTGAAAACTTAATTTAGTTTTAAATATAAGACTTTAATTCACTTTGTCTTTAAAATTTATTCATTTTATTTTAAATAATCTTTATGGTGATCATGTTAAGGAGTTTCTTATATTAAGCACATTGGTGTGTGTGTGTGTGTGTGTGAACTTGTTAGAAGAAAGAATACTTACATCACTTCTGTGAATCTTTACCCTTGATATAAACAAGTGTTAGATGTGCTCTGCTCCCATCCTTGGTGATGCAAAGGGTTAAGGCCAACCAGTTAATACATATTCTTTTAAACTCATATAACTATATATTTAAGTATGGAAATGTATAATTGAAGAAGAAAAAGTGATGAGATTGAGGTGGTGGATGGGCAGGATTTGAAGTAGTGGAGAAGGCATGTTGCTCGACAGGAACATTCGAGATGAGCTATCTGTGCAGCGACAAGAATCCATTGACATGCAAAGACGCCGACAAGTATGTGTTCTGGGACGCCTTCCATCCCACCCAGAAAACCAACCAGATTGTCTCTCATTACTTGATTGCCAAGCTTCTGCCTGCTTTCAACTGATCATTTTGCTATACCCATTATGTTCCTCAATTCCCCATATTCTTCTTAATTACATATGTATGTACGCTCTCTTGCCCTGCCAATGTTGTTCTTGTGTTTTTAGCTATGCATATGCTCAGGATCCCATTTACACTTCAAGGTTCATTGATTTTGTAATCTCCACGTTTCTAGGTCTCTGTATGTGTGTTTATTTATAGCTGTGGTATTTAATTCAGGTTTGCATGAGTGAAGCTAAAGATAATTATATGGCTGAAACATTTAGTTCTATATCATGTTTCAATTTTGATCTCTTAACCTTGAAAAGTATCTTCTGACTCTAAAACCGTTAAAAAAAAAATAATGACATTGAGATTTTGAATGTTAATAAAATATGCTCAAATATCAATATGTTAAATTTAATTTTTAAAACAATCATGATTATTCATTTTAGACTAAGAGTTCTAAAGTTAAAGGATTAAAAATGTACTTTTTAAAATTAAGGGGATCAAATCAAAACCTTATATAAAGCTAAAAAAATATAATTTGCACCATGTATCATTTTCTATGAATGAAATAACAAGTTTAGTTAGAGCAGAGGAGTTACATGTTGGAAGTTATATGCGAAATCCTCAAGTTTTCAATATATTTAAATGATTTTTCTTGCTTGAAATGTGAACATGATGATTTTCATTTTAACAAAATAATATACTGATTTAAACAAAAAATTTTAAATTCAAATTATTATTCGATAATTATGATCAGGTATACGAAAATCTCATGCAAGGCAAACTATTCGTAGTTTGTGAATAATAAATTCTAAAACAAGTGACAATATTCTTAGTTTGTATAAAAATAGTGTGACTCAGGTAAGATTATACATGTGGATATAAATTAATCATAGAGATATGTTTTCTTTTTAACATCATGTCCTAACTCCAATATAATTAAGATAACAAGCATCTTAATTGGCATCATTTTATGAATATATAAAATACATTGTAAGTCATAAATAGTATGAATTAAATTTATATTAGATTTATGTGTAAGGTGAAAAAATTGTCTAATTACTTCATAAATTTTTTTGACCAGAAAATTACTTCATAAATTAAAATACACGATTTATTAGCACAAAAATGTTGAACGTTAAAGTTACCTAATTAAGGCAAACAGTTATGAAACATCCCAATTACGCATTACGAAACTGCCGCGTCATTTCCTTCACATTGTTTCTTTCTTTTTTGTGACAGGTGTGTTTTTATTTTTCTTACTTCAATTTTAAGTTCAGATTTTTCAATTTTTTTTCATTTTCATATTTAGTTAATGAATAAAAAAATTAAAATAGCTTCAGAACATGTCTTGGATATATCTTCTTCTATAATAAAAAATTTGCATTTGAAGATTATGTACCAATTCTTTTTCTCTCCAAAAATAGGAACGTTTTGAGAATTTTGGAAAACTGTTCTGCGCAAGTCAACGAAAAACAAAAATTATAGGATGAAATACAAACAAGCTTAGCGGAGATTAACTATATTTAGTATTATTTTTCATTTTCTTTTAAGCTTTTATCTAATTTTTTTTTCTGATTTATGTTTTATTTTTATTTTTATTAAGATTAACAAAGATCAAAATAAAACTTAAGTCATAATAAAAAGTTTAAACAAGAGTTTAAAACATAATAAAAAAACAATGCTAAATATAATTAACCTCCTCTTGGCCTATTTGCATTTCAGCCCATAATTTTTCTTCTTCGTTAACTTCATGAGAAAAGTTTCGGGAACATTCTAAAAAAGTCTTTGGAATATAAGAAATTCCAGATTAGGTCTTAAAATTTTGAAAATGACAGAAAGGGTCAGTGACCCAATCTGTCATTTGTAAAATTAAGACGAATTGACAATTTTGCCCCTGGCTAAGCAAAAGTAAGTAGTTATTCTCTAAACAAATCTAGGTAACGCTTACACTGTTCTAGTGATTACAAGATTAGTTGTAGTTAATGATAAGGTACCTGACTATGAAAAAGTGAGTAGTTATTCTCTACACGAATCTAGGTAATGCTTACATTGTTTTAATGATTATAAAATCAGTTGTAGTTAATAACAAGACACTTGACTATGAAAAAGTGAATAGTTATTCGCTACACGAATCTAGGTAACGCCTAAACCCTTATAGTGATTCCTTAAATCATTGTAGTGAATGAATACAAATGAGGGCAAAGTTGTCAATTCCTCTTGATTTTACAAATCACACATTGGGTCACTGACCTTTTCTGTTATTTTTGAAATTTCAGGACCAAATCTGAAATTTCTTATATTCCAAAAATCTTTTTTGGAATTTTTTCAAAAGTTTTTCACAATTTTCAAAGGGGTTTCCATATTTTTCACAGAGAGAGAGAGAGAGAGTTAGTACGTATAATTTTGAAAGACAAGCCCTTTTGAGACCAAAATATATCAAAACACATTGGAAACTATTGATTTTTTTATTCATTAATTAAATGTAGGATTAAATGTAGGAATGAGAATTGAGAGGATTGAACTTAATATTGAAGTCAAGAACCAAAAAAAAAAAAAGCACCTATTACGGGGAAAAAGAAAAAGAGTGGAAGAAACAAGGTAACGGAAATTAAACGCAAAATGGGATATGAATGGAAGTGAGAGAACAAACACAAAAGGATGCTTTAAGCTCAGGGCCACTAGAACTAGAAGAACAACGTGCGGACCATAGTTTAACTTTTTCACTTTTTTTTTAATATTAAAGTCTGAATTAGATTTGGTAATAAAATAAACAGCGGGTCATGTTGTTTCTAAGCATTTTCCGTTGGTCAAAGAAAACAGAGAATTAGCCTATAACCCACGCAACCGGAAAGAAGCTTCTCCAATTTTTTACCTCCCAACACGTACTGCGGCCATTGGATTCTCCCTCACCCACGCGCTCTCTTTATGTCTAACTTCGCATTTTATTCATCTATAACATTCAGCTATATAGCATGTACATATATTGTTCCAATATTTAATATTTAATAGCAAAATGGCAAATAAAGATGTTGGAAAAAGTGATATTCCAAACCAAACACCAAACGCTTCAAAATCTAAATAAAAAAAGTGGCACCTGACTTGGTATTTTATAAATGTAGTTAAATAATTAAAATGTCATTATATCAAAAAGTTTATTAACAAGTTGTAAACTAGTAATAACAAGTTATGAAGCAAATGACAAGAAATATACTAGCAATGACAAGTTATTTATTAACAAATTGTGAACAGATAATAACAAGTATTAAACAGCTAATAATAAAAAATATACTGATAATAATAAGTTTAATAGCTTTTTTCTAAAAAAAAATTGATACAAGGACATTTTAGTTATTTAACTATATTTGTAAAATATCATATTACACATTGCTTCTTACTCGATCATTTCCAGCTTTTATTTGCTTGAATTGAGAAATGATAATTTTAAGATTCTTTTTCTAAAATTTTCCCTATTTAATACTCTTTCCCTTTCTTATTTAATTAAATTATAAAAAACAAACCCCTCTAACTAATAACTTTTATTAAGGATAAATGTTTACAAGAAATAATCAATTTTCACTGAATTTTGAGGAATATAATTACAAATTGTCTTAAAATTATTTTGGTTCCATCTTCACCCATCATAAATTTGACAAAAACATATATTCTTTCTACACTCCTACTGGAGATTGACAAGAGAAGCATCTTGGGAATAAAACAATTAATAATGCTCCACAAACTCTTCCAGAACATACTATGTATATGTCTTTCAAATTTATTTTACATTTATTATTTTTTTAATGTTCATTTGTTCACTCCAAATAGAGTAGAATAAACACATACATTTAAATTTTCATTTTAATGCACGCAGTCGGTTGTGCCCAACTTGCACAAAGCACAGAGGCGGTCGGCAGCCTACAATTTGGTCCTTGTTCTAAATCTTAAGAATATTCCGAGACAAAGTTAAACAGTCGACAAGAGAACAAGGTTTTTTACCATGTCTTTTGGTCAACTAAAATGAAAAATTGCAGTCTTAATTTATTTAATATTAGGAATATGATACTGAAATTCTATTTTTACAAGCATCCAGATTCCTCGCAAAACAGAGGATGCTGCTGTGTCCCTGAACTGAAGGAGAAGTTTCTTCCGAACTTTAATACTTAGAAACAATTTGAATCCACGGCATACCACACAATCCCAACCCAACTTTTTGATCAAACTAATTCATTGGGCAAGCTCCCAACGAATCTTTTTGACCAAAATAGAAATAATATTCTATCACTGTGCATTAGTCAGAATATATTCCTTTTGGCTATAAGTACTTGCAGCAAGCCAGTCAGCTTTCTTCAAGAAACTTGCGCCCTTGAAAACCATATCTCTTGGTGAATATCACGACCAAGCACACTATACACAGTTCAATCCATTGAGCAGTGAAGATGAGCGTAGAAATATTGGATGGTGCCACCATAGTCAATTTCCTGGAGGATGAAGAAGCATTCAATCTCATAGTGCAAGACAGGTTCGCTCACCTTGACGCAGACAATGATGGTCTTCTCTCCTACACTGAGATGCTGAAGGAGTTGCAGAGTCTAAGGGTCTTTGAGACTCACTTTGGCATCGATGTGCAGCCTGACCCAGATGAGCTTGCTCAGGTTCTTCCTCTTCTTCTCCTTCTCCTTCTTCTGGGATTCTTCAAAATACAAGCAGATTGCTAAAAAGGGTTATTTTTGTTTACCTCAGGTTTACGATTCCTTGTTCTTGCAATTCGATCACAACTTGAACGGGACAGTTGATCTGGAAGAATTCAAGGAGGAGACCAGGCAGATGTTGCTGGCTATGGCAGATGGAATGGGATTCTTGCCTATTCAGATGGTTTTGGAGGAAGATAGCATCCTCAAGAAAGCTGTTCAAAGAGAATCAAACACGGTTGCGGCTTAAGGACATCTTAAAAACTCTTGTGTAGCACTGTTCGTTTTTAACTCCTGTCCAAATCATGCCACTTCCTATGATTTGATCACTCCAAAGCAATTACTTTGAGACGGCTGCTTTATTTTCCTCTCGATCGGGGTTTCTGTTCCTTCATTTTTATTCAATACAGTTGCATTGCAAACGTCTAGTTTAATTTGATATTAAATCTAAATGCTTTATAATATACTATCTCTGGTCCTAAATATAAAAACTAATTAATTAATTTGAGTAGATTCAGAAAATAAATTAAATTAGTTGTTTGTACTAAATAGATGTTATCTTTCTTAAAATATTCTTGCCATTCAAGTTTATTGGCCAAAAATACTACTATTAAAAAGACTATCTTAAAAAATAAATAAATAAATATGAGAAACAAAATATATTTGAGTATTATATTTAGAACCAAAATAATAGTCAAACGAGATATTATATTAAGAATCAGAGGTAGTATTAAAATTTTTTCTTACAAAATCTCTATATGTAAATCATATAATATATTCACAGGTACAGAGAGATTAAAAAATAAATAAGGGAATGGAAAACAAGAAATGAGGTGAATCACATTTACATTCTCATCCTGTGTCAATGCATTACAGCAATACTTAAATTTATGCTCATTTTGGAGGATCTTAAAGAACAAAATGATGTTACAAATTACAAGATCATATACATCTCAGGAGATGGAATGAAGGAAAGAATGGCTTCCCCGAACAGATCATGCAGTGACATCAGCATACGTCCAGAATTCAGTTCATGCTTCCAAACCTGAGCAAGAGCAGCAGATGTCTTAGGCGCCCTACTTCTCTGTTCATCACTTTTAACCCCAACATATGAAATGGCTTCATTCGTCCGTCTCTCGGACGGAGATGGGTCCATGATTGAGTCAGCTGACGAAGCTTGGATCCCCTTCATCCCTTCACCATGAGATGGTGAGGAATTTGTCAGAACTGCCCCAACCTCACCATCAGTCGCAATTTTCTTTTCAGGCGGCTGCTGTTCTGGTTGCTCCAAGCTTGCCTTGCGTTTACCTAGACAAGCAATGATTGGAGAGACAGAGACTCAAATTCCAAACTCATAAAAAGGCATGCAGTTGAGCTTACTTTTTGAAAGCACTATAACATTGAGGACTCACTGGAAATCATTGAAGTCGGTAACTAATAATTATATCAGTTAACAGAGGATGCTACGGAAGAAAAGGTGGGCATGCCTTTTTCCCCAAAAAAAAAAAAAAAAAAAGGATAATGAATTCATAGTCTGCTAGGCAATCATATCATCGGTTAGTGATGATAATTTTGACTGGACTTAGGCATGGTTCGCAATGAAATGCTTACTCCCTCACGGTAATCTGATCAATTAAGTGACATGCAGATCTCACTCCTAAGGGTCTCGTAAACTCGTTCCAAACCACATACTGTCAATGTCTTCACTCACATGATCAGGTTTGAATCTCATGCTACTCTTAATTAACTTTTAGAAATACTACCCTCGATTACTTGAATAACTGATCAGTATCATCTTAAGTCAACAAGTGAGACACTTACGGGGTGAAGCAGTAACAACTCTTGCATTGGTCTTCCACACATCATGAGGAAGAGGTGATGGAAACATTGGGAACAACTTCAGTAGTTCATATATGCATCGACCTGTAGCACGCTGAAGAATACACACATTGATTCTGCCAACCATATTACTGAGACTGATGTATTTCACAGCAAACCACCTTATCCTAAAGTCTTACCAGCAAAGCCCCATAGACACGCCAAGCTTCATGCCTCTTCATTTCATTTTTCTGCTTCTCAAGAAGCATCTCTGGTTCAAGAAGTCGCATATATGGTTCAAGATTTGGCAGTACAAGAAGGCGAACCTACTTACAGGGTCACAAGCTCACAAAATTTGTCAAATAATTATAAATATATTGATCAACTGTAAATAGAAAAAATAGAGTAAAAGGAAACAACAACAAAAAGTATAAAAGGAAAATCACATCCATAGCTGCCAGAAGCATGTAAAAGCACATACCACATTGGGTCCCAGAGCTGCCAGCCCTTGAATTGCACCATAATGTTGAGTCATTGCTTTCTTTGGATCCAAGAAAGCATTCAGCAGTGTTTTTGTGAGGCGGGACTGGAGGTTACTGTAAACATGTCCAAATCTGCACCACACAAATATTAAAGATAGAGAAATTTGTGGGACAGGCAAAAAGATCACAACAAACATGAAATACAAATATTTCTTAACGAAATGCATGAGAAACATAGTATCAAAGTTAATTAACTTAAAGCACCCACTTTGAAGAGCATAAAATATAAACAGCGTAATTCATGGGAATGTAAGTTCAGGTAAAGAAAGATCTGATCTTAAATGGCTTCAAACATAGTTCAAACCAAAGAAGATACCTTGAGTCATTGACAGCTTTTGAAATCATCTACTTAAAAAATACTATTTTTGGCTGCACATTAAACTTGATTAACGATAACTCTACAATGACGTGGGACTAAAAGCCAGGCATGCTTCTAGGAAGTTGTTCTAGGATTCAAAGAAATGAACAAGCCATCTTACTGAACATCAAGGGGACTGCTCAAGGGTATTAGGTTAAAGATTTCTGGGAATTGTCTCACCAAATTAGACAAATGCAGCTGAGAGGAAAAGAGGGTGCGCGAGCACGTGGGATTGGGGGACTCAAAAGTTAAGTGAGAGACCTTTTTAGTTGTGGTGCAGTATCCGAATGCCAGAGCCTTGACGTGATTTTCTGGTAAAATGTATTTCATTTGTAACGAGGAAAAACTAGAAAGTTTCTCCATCATTAGGGGTTCATAGGGAAACCTAGGATGAGTGTTACGGAGTAGGAGGAAATGTTAGGGATTAGATGCCTATTATTGACTTGGGGCCCTGAAGACTATCACTTTAGGAGTCTTACTATTATCACGTTTTGTTATATCCAGGAGTTTATCTTCCGATCAAGTTATTTTTTGGCTAATTTAAATTAATGTACAAGGGCGATAATCTGCGTGTTATTCTTCAGCCCCCAAGTTCTTCCAACCATAACTTTGCTTTAATCTTAAGGTCCCTTAGCATTGACACACTTTCTACAGCATATAAATTATAACAGGACATAGTGAGGATTTCTTACCTTCTGCATATTGAAGCAACAAGCTTTGACGTAAAGTCTCGAAGCTCCCAATGATTGTCTGCCATCCCACTGCCCAACCTTCTGGCAACTAGGCAGGTCGCAACAGATGGCATCAACTGGTGCAGCTGACACATATGGAAGGAAGGAAGGAAAAGGAAAAATTAGTACAGTTAGGTTGCAACTGCTGGCATCATTTCTCTATTTCTAACCAGAGATGACAAGGAATGTATAAAACGAAATTAGCAAATTATGGTCAACTCTAACACCTGAACATTCTGCTGAATGGATTAGAGACCAAAAAAAGAAAAAAAGAAAAAAATCAAAGTGTGAATGTTGAATGAAATAAAATTTAAGCTAGGTATATAAAGATTTAAACCCTTGCTCAGGTATGATTCAGTGAGTGTGAGCAACCATGCAAAGGAATATACCTAAATCAAAGGTGAACTTACATATGGTTCAATATGGATATGAGGGTTTTGAAGGAGGCTACTAACAACTCGCATCAAGGCAAACAGGCGAGCAAAGTCACTTAAACCACGAGAAACCTGACATGGATGGAGAAGCACAAAGTTCAAGTGAGGAATTGGCACTGTAAGTTCTTTCTCAACAGAAAACACTATTAGAAGTCAAATATTATTACCTCATCAGCTATGAAGCATGTGAAATATGGAACTAATGGATGAAGTCCTGAATCAGTGGCCAAACTAACCAACGCTTCTTTAAAGAGAACTGAATCAGACTTGTTTATAGTGAGCTCCGTGACTTTATCAAAGTAAAGCTGCAATGAAAGAAGAAATTCTAAATAAACTGAGGTGGAGAAATAAGGCAGATAATAATTGCTACTGTAAATCAGATACCTGAAGTTCCCTGGATAATATATGCTTAACAGGCAATTTGATGTCAATTGGAAGGCTATCATCTTTCTGTTCAGAGTTTTTGGTATCAGAAGGAGCTGAAATTACTGCCAAGAGAAAAAGAATACAATCTGGAAATCAGGCCAAGCTTTTGGTCAAAATATTCTTCAAATGATCAAGCAAGCCCAAGTCAACTATAGGTAACAAATGTAAGATTTGAAAAAGGACCGAATATTAGACTTGGTTTCATCAAGTTGTTAAAATGCTTTTATCCACTTGCATGAATGCAAATCTTTAAGGAGCAGCATCTCACATCTCTATTTAGTTTTGTTAATTTCTATGAAAATATCACCCCTTTTCTAGAGACTTTCGGTGGTTATGCATGAGTCAAGAATCCTAAACAACTTGACATATTACAGCCTCTTGTCTCATAATTCGGCATCCAAAATAATTGGGATCACTATATACTGGTATACCAAATGGTCTCTAAGCATTGTACTTTTGTTTGCCACACTAAAGAACATTGTGAAACTAAAAATTCTAATGTGACATAATGAACTTGTTTTATAATCACTTCTTACTCATGGCTCACATTTATGATCTGACAATTCATGAAAAAATTTAAAGATAATGTGGGTAAAGGAAAACGAGTATGCCATAATGAAATGCTAACATAATCAGCAGAAAGTTATAAAATGAAAAGTACCCAACAATTCCTTGTATCTTAAGAGCTTTAAAATTTTTACGTGGGTACCCAGCATATGCAATTGCTTATATGTTCAAGAGCTTACTGAGGCAATTATGCTTTTCGGTCTTGCACTATATGCATGTAAACAGATGTATCTAAATTTAGGGAGACACCTTCTATAGGAGCATTTTCTGGAATAGCAGGTTGTACGCCTTCAATAGCAAGCCAGTGGCAAGTAACTGCAGTATCAAGAGGTGCTTTCGGCAATGGTGCTTCAATAACCTAAAGTGCATAGGGTTCGAAAGTTTAGCATGGTGCTGCACCATATCAAGTCTAAATGCAATTGGAGGAACAAGGATGCAGTAGTTCCTTACATCTTTTAAATCAACATCCTTGTCATCTATATAAAACAAGTCTCTGTGTCCAACAGCT